GTTACGCCAATTTTACAATCGTCTTAGCTAAAAGTTACACCCGTTCCACTACCCGATCTTAGGCCGATCGTAGCCGGTCCCGATCTTACGATACGATCGAAGCTTAGATCGAGGCCCTTTCGTGCGAGGAATGCGAGGCACGAGTTATCTCCCTTTGCATAGTCTAGCAAATGATGGAAGTAGTTTACGAACCAACTGAGTGAGTGAGTGAGTTTAGATTTACGCCGCACTCAGCAATAGTCCAGATATATGGCGGCGGTCTGTAAATAATCTAGCTAAGATGCATAGCGTTCACTAACATGATCGCTATATATATCTGAGCTATAAATAATCGAGTCTGGACCAGACAATCCAGTGATCAACAGCATGAGCATCGATCTGCGCAGTTGGGAGCAGACCACCCGATCCCGTTAGTGGCCTCTTACGACAAGCATGGGTTATTAAAGTTCAATATTCTAACCCGGACCTTCATGGGTATTTTTCCAACCAAGTGTAAACGTGGAGAAAAAACCTAGAGCAAAATATTAGGGTAATGAGCACCTTGGTTTCAGGTGCAAGTGCGTGTGAACGCTGGGTATCAGGCATAATATAATAATAATAAATGCATATTTATAGTGCGCCTATTCCACATCCTGGGGCATGCTCAAAGCGCTATGTACAGATAATTTACACGAGAGTATTTACAGCCGAGATTATACGAAATATACTGAGAATAGGTTTTAAGTCTGGACTTTAAAAATGTCAATTGTGTCAGAGCTTTTAATATGTGCCTGAACCTTGTCAATCAGAATAAACAAGGCGGGACAAGGCTATAACGTATGTACAATCTGTCAGTGGTCTTGAATAACACGCGGCCTGTATTTAGAATCCCCCACCAAATAAGCGCACGTGAAATCAAACATATTTGTATCTTTTTGTTTCAGAACATTGTTCACTTCACGGCTGTCGTTATTCTTAACCATGACGTTGCAATATTGTTGTACAAATGTGTCACACCGACTCGCGCGGTTGTGTTCCCATGACGACAGTGGTCAGACTGGCCTGACATTTGTAAGGCTTCAGTGCAGTGTTTGTTTACATCACAGAAATATACAAATTCATTTCATGGGGGATTTTAGGGGACGCTCACGGTGAAATGCTCGCTCTTATTTTTCACATAGAATAGGAAAGCCACCATTTTGGTTTCTCTACGATTGATTTTAGCTATCCTAAGTTGGTCATGAGCAACTTAGACTTTGAATCTTAACTTTACGATTGACATGGGTAAGATTGGTTAGTGGAACGGTATGCCGATCGTAACGTCATGCTAAGATTGGGATTTTAGGCGTTTACGATTGGCGTAGGGCTAAGATCGGTTAGTGGAACGGCACCCTGGGCCTAGATTTTCGAAGCTCTCTTAGCGCTAAGGTGATCGTAGCTCCCATACTTTAACATAGACTTACGACTGTCGTAGCGCTAAGATGATTGTAGCTCCCATACTTTAACATAGACTTACGACTGCCGTAGGGCTACGACCGCTTTGGGGAACTGGGTCCATTCTAAACCATTATCCCCACCGCTAGATTTAGGATACAATGTGATGTGGGCTAGACTTTTGTAACGACACATGGACCAATATTCAGGTTATGAAGTAAGTAATCGAATGTCGTTCGAGCTGATTTACTCATCTCATACTTGGCAGACAACTGGTAGTCTAGACTGCCGTGCCAATTAACACTTATCAGAGGGGTACACAACGTCCGCAGTCTAGACTACCAGTTGTCCGACTTCCATTTTTGTGGAAGTCGCGGTGGCTGAGCGGTCTAGGCGTCTGATTTTGTGTGTTGGCGATTAGGTGCCTGACTCTGAGGGTGCGGGTTCGAATCCCGGATGGAACTTAACCCCAAAAGTACTAGAATCTGTACTTTACTGAGAAAGTGTAATTCCAAATATAACATGTGTTACTTGTGTATGTTGTCTGTCTCATTGAACTTCACGACGAGAACAAATGAAGTGGTTTGATTCTGTTGGATGCTACAACAAATGAATAAAAACAAAATACAAATATTAAAATTAAAACCGATTAAAGTTATCGCAATAATATCACTTCATTGCCTTGTTCGAGGAATGTGTCCATCAATATCCACATACATAGACAAACGATGTGCCATTCATCTGCAGCTGACAAAGAAACCTGTTCCATGTCATGTGTCTTTTAACAGTCTAATATGCATAACATATATAAATCGTTACAACCAGTGATGAACAGGGACGATTTTCTATGGATAGACACCTTCTTTATTGCAATCAATGCGACGTTTCGGTATAGATGCTTACACTGTGTTTGATTATGGTAATCTGTGTTAGCATCTACACCGAAACGTCGCATCGACTGCAATAAAGAAGTTGTGTATCCATGAAATAATGTTCCTGTTTATCATACCAGCTTCTAAATGCCACTCAAAGAAGTAATAACTAGGGATAGTTTATCAACTGGTCTGGTAACTGTTTCAGGTTTTTCACATTGGTGTATAGTCTCATTGGTCACCCAAGATAGCACACCTGACAACTATTTGCATGATGTCCGCCATTCTTTTGAAAGTAATTTAGTCAGACAACAATGAGTAATGAATCAAAGTATTGGTAGTTAATCCTTTGAAGGAAGGACGTTGTTTTGACACATGCGCTTAACGACAGGATGTATTCAGCATACAATAGTAAATCCACATACATTAACACTACTTTTTGACAAAATCGCTGTGCAAGACAAAAGTACTTAATCAATCAACGTGTTATCGGTTAATCCTTTGATCGATGTTTATTTTTTTACCTCAGCTGATAATTCCTCTTGCTGCACTTCCATGCGCATGTTACACAGCATGTAATACATTTGCCACATCAGACCGGATTCAAATAAATCAAATGTGTGCTTTTAATATCATGGGTCTATAGACATAACAGTGTTACATTATATGATTAAAATCGAGGTAAAAAAACACAGCAATAGAATCAAATTGTACCAGTCATCATACCATCCACGCAACAGAAAATCAGAAAAAGCCTACACTGCTGAGATACTTTATTACAATCAGATAGGAACTACTGGGGATATTTTATTTTCAAATGACGGCATCTGATGGGCATCCACTGTTCTTCTTGTACCATTGCTTAGGTTGAAGAACCCCTTTTTTTCTTCTTCTTTATTGAAGAAATTCTGCCAAGGTGGGCAGTTGCCCAGTCACCACGTCCGTCAACAGGGACCAAGTCAGCGAGCCTGACCACCCGATCCCGTTAGTGGCCTCTTACGACAAGCATGGGTTATTAAAGTTCAATATTCTAACCCGGGCCTTCATGGGTATTTTTCCAATCAAGTGTAAATGTGGAGAAAAAACCTAGAGCAAAATATTAGGGTAGTGAGCACCTTGGTTTCAGGTGCAAGTGCGTGTGAACGCTGGGTATCAGGCATAATATAATAATAATAAATGCATATTTATAGTGCGCCTATTCCACATCCTGGGGCATGCTCAAAGCGCTATGTACAGATAATTTACACGAGAGTATTTACAGCCGAGATTATAAGAAATATACTGAGAACAGGTTTTCAGTCTGGACTTTAAAAATGTCAATTGTGTCAGAGCTTTTAATATGTGCCTGAACCTTGTCAATCAGAATAAACAAGGCGGGACAAGGCTATAACGTATGTACAATCTGTCAGTGGTCTTGAATAACACGCGGCCTGTATTTAGAATCCCCCACCAAATAAGCGCACGTGAAATCAAACATATTTGTATCTTTTTGTTTCAGAACATTGTTCACTTCACGGCTGTCGTTATTCTTAACCATGACGTTGCAATATTGTTGTACAAATGTGTCACACCGACTCGCGCGGTTGTGTTCCCATGACGACAGTGGTCAGACTGGCCTGACATTTGTAAGGCTTCAGTGCAGTGTTTGTTTACATCACAGAAATATACAAATTCATTTCATGGGGGATTTTAGGGGACGCTCACGGTGAAATGCTCGCTCTTATTTTTCAGGTTTTTCACATTGGTGTATTGTCTCATTGGTCACCCAAGATAGCACACCTGACAACAATTTGCATGATGTCCGCCATTCTTTTGAAGTAATTTAGTTAGCCAACAATGAGCAATCAATCAGCGAATTGGTGGTTAATCCTTTGAAGGAAGGACGTTGTTTTGACACATGCACTTAACGACAGGATGTATTCAGTATACATTAGTAAATCCACATACATTAACACTACTTTTTGACAAAATCGCTGTGCAGGACAAAGTAATTCATCAATCAGCGTGTTATCGGTTGATCCTTTGATCGATGTTTTTTTTACCTCAGCTGATAATTCCTCTTGCTGCACTTCCATGCGCATGTTACACAGCATGTAATACATTTGCCACATCAGACCGGATTCAAATAAATCAAATGTGTGCTTTTAATATCATGAGGCAATAGACATAACAGTGTTACATGATATGATTAAAATTGAGGTAAACAAACACAGCAATAGAATCAAATTGTATCAGTCATCATACCATCCACGCAACAGAAAATCAGAAAAAGCCTACACTGCTGAGATACTTTATTACAATCAGATAGGAACTACTGGGGATATTTTATTTTCAAATGACGGCATCTGATGGGCATCCACTGTTCTTCTTGTACCATTGCTTAGGTTGAAGAACCCCTTTTTTTTTTCTTCTTTATTGAAGAAATTCTGCCAAGGTGGGCAGTTGCCCAGTCACCACGTCCGTCAACAGGGACTGACCACTTGTCAGCTAGGCGATTGTTGGCGCGAAACATTAATCGCTATGGATCAGTGCCCCTTTAATTTACACAATCACTGAAATCAAAAGCTGTTGTTTGTGATTATGTAATATTGAAGAAGAAAGGTTGTCAAATTAAGTGGACAAATACAAATGTTACGGTGAGTCAGTAGTGACGACTAACAATTTACTACTGTGCTGTCTTACATATATCTTTTAATATCTATTCTTTGTTTAAAGGATGTCAGAAAACCACGTGACGCGGGAGTCAGCTCGGGATTCCTCGGATCCATCCGCCATGCCGAATGAGAACGGGGACGCTCACCCGGAAACAGAGTCAGTCCAGGGAAACGCACCAGCATCTCCAACGCATCAGAAGCCGACGGCGGTGGAGCGTCGTGCGTTGTTACAGAAGCAACCTTCATCTAAACGAAATACCTTCCCAGCTTACGACACGCGACCTGCCGAAATCCGACGGCTTTCTGACACCGAGAGGCAAAGTTCGAAGCCAGGAGTAATATTTAGACGGCAGTCAAGCTTTGACTTCGTCCACACCGACTCCTTCAGTAGGGACCCTCAGACTGAAAAGCTAGAGGAGATCGATCCCAAAAAAAGGTTAGACCCTTCGATCCGTTGTCTTCTTTCACCCACACAAAACATGCCCCCACATGAACGTCATTGGTCAACATGGTGAATCAATGAACCAGACAAACAACACTACATGATAGGTGATCAGCATTAAGTTTGGTTGGTTTGGTTTGTTTGTTTGTTGTTTTACGCCGCACTCAGCAATATTCTAACTATATAGCTGCGGTCTGTAAATAATCGAGTCTGGACCAGACAATCCAGTGATCATCAGCATGAGCATCGATCTACGTAACTGGGATACGATGTCATGTGTCAACCAAGTCAGCGAGCCTGACCACCCGATCCCGTTAGTCGTCTCCTACAACAAGCATGGGTTACAGAAGACCAATTCTAACCCGGAATAAGAAACAAACAAGAAACAAACGAAAATATTGTATATTACCTTTACAATAATATGGGATAGGTTATGGTAAGTATCATCCTCGATAATCTCCAGGGTATACGTTACGATCACTCTCCATTATACCCTAGATGCATTCATGGCTTGGGGCGATGATTTTATTACCTCCCTTGGCTGGCTCCGCATTCTCACAGTAGCCAATCAGCTGAGCCGCCGTTACAACCGAGCTTGCCAGTGTCAACAAATATTGCGGTCGCAGTTGCAAAGGTTTGTTCGCAGTGCCACTCAGATTTTTGGGGAAATAATAAAGACAAATTCACAGATCTGAAACTGTAAAAAGTAAACTTCTTTCAGAGTACCTCTGCATCAATTGTGTTGCCAAGTTTAAACGGTTAGATAATTAAGACGCGAAAGTGAGTAGTAATTGGTACGCTCAACTTCCCAGCGTAGGCACCTGACTGGATAAAAAGCCAGCAAAGGGAGGTACTAAAATCATTGCCTCAAGCCGTGGATGCATCCAGGGTATAGTGGAGAGTGATCGTAACGTATACCCTGGAGATTATCGAGGATGGGTAAGTATATGAAGATCTGTAAAACAAGCACAAGAACTAGTAGTGCATATAAAACCATCAATCATTAGTTGATATAATTCAATATCTACACAAAATAATTTGAAAAAAAACCCCGTGTAAAATAACAACTTGTTTCCCCTCAGTGCCATGGTGGACCTCACAGCGATTTGGAATGTCTATCCTGTGGTTCTTCGGCTTTCTGTGCCTGTACTCCCAGAGGGTTAATCTCAGTATCGCCATAGTCTCCATGGTCAACCACGAAGCCCTAAAACACGTACAGGAAGTGACCATCGTCAACATGACCAACGAGACGGCATACAATACAACAACGCCTGCGACGAGTCTATACGAAGAGGCACAGTGTCCTGTTTCTTCTTCAAAGAATACCACGGTAGGGATGCTGATCTTTGCAAATGTGAGATGGGAGGCTTTAATAAGACCTGACCAAAGTACGTCACCTTTGAATTTCCCTGTCATATATGAGAGCACTTTCCGAGGAAAAACAGAACCCTTGTATTCCAGTATCGAGGAAATTGTATCATTACTGACATCTCATGAACTTGTATTCATAAATCACTGTAAAGAGTGATATAAACAATGTTCGTGCAATGAGGAGAGTATCCTACCCCACAGTTGCACCAGACATAAACACAGGTAAAGGCGGGTCATGCGAAAAAACAACACTGGCACGTATGGTTCACTATACGGAACACCTATTCGAGGACCCAGGTTGTAATTGTATCGAAAGAGGAACACCAATTTCATTCTGAGGTTTCAGACAGAACAAAAATACACCAGTTCAACATAGCAATGTGACAGTATCCTTTGAGGTATATTTTATTGACATTTGGCATCTCCATAAAACAAGGTCATAGTTTTAGACTTTTAGAAGTGATATGAAGTCTTTATTTCCTCAGGGTGGAGAGTTCGTGTGGGACAAGAAACTTCAGGGTCTCATCCTTGGATCCTTCTTCTGGGGATACCTCGTGCTGCAGGTGCCGGGAGGCTGGTTCAGCGAGAAGTTCGGCTCCAAGAAAGTGGTCGCCTTTGCAATGTTCCCTGTCGCCATCTTCAATCTCCTGAGTCCAGTGGCTGCACGGACCAGCCCATATCTCTTTCTTGTAGTCAGGTTCATTGTTGGCTTAGGGGAGGTATGTCGAATAGTGGTTCCCGATTAATTGAAATAATCGTCCAATCGATCATAATTTTCATAATCGAACACAAACTCCTGGAAGACTTGTTTTCATTAACAATATTTTTTCCAGTTGGTTTTGTCTGTTACACGGACCAAGCTCGTTTCAAGTCATGATTGAATTTATCTTAAAGATTCCAAGATTTATGTTCCTGACATACTAGTCCGGGAAATTGTTGGCTTAGGGGAGGTAACAAACGTAAATGACGCTAACCAATTATCGATGATTGATCGTAGTGAACCAATCATCAATTATGTTTGTTGTTTAACGTCGCAATATTCCAGCTATGGGGAAGCGGGCTGCAAACAATCGCGTTTGGACCAGACAATCCAGTGATCAACATCATGAGCATCGACTTACACAATTGTCAACCAAGACAGCGAGTCTGACCGCCCGATCCAGTTAGTCGCCTCTTACGAGAAGCATGGACTGCAGAAGATCAATTCTAACCCGGACCTGCGCGAGTCCCTTAGACAAAACCTCGTTGTTATTAGTTGGAACAATGTAGTCGTTGTTTATATTTTATAATTCCGAAACAAAACGTGTCCAAAGAATGCCAGGCTTGTCATAAACACAGAATGATATAGGGATCATGTGTTCACAACATGGATCAGGTTTTCACTGTGTGTGTCTCAAACAAATCAGCGTTGCTGATAACTACTGTTTTGTATGGCCCCAACCCGATTATTTAAAGTCTTACGTGATATAACTGGAATATTGCTGACAGTTAGCTAGCGTCCACTCTTGACAACTCAAATATTGGTTGATCCTCTATGTTAAAAACTGTTTGAGTTTAAAGTAATAACGTAACCCTATTGAAAGCAACATGACAGTGTTTTAAATAAATGTGGTTGAGTAAACAGATTTGATTTGATACGAAGCAAACCTGGACGCATCTTCGAAAGCCACGTGTATAATTTCATGACCAGCGACGAGGTTACCTAATGGTTAAAGCGTTCACTTGTCACACCGGAGACCTGGGTGAAGCCCATTTCTAGTGTCCCCCGCCGAGATATTGCTAGAAGTTTGTTAAATACGGCATAAAACTAAACTCACTCACTCATAATTATCAACTAGCTTCTGAGCGAGCGAGTTTGGGTTTACGCCGCTTTTAGCAATATTCCAGCAACATCACGGCGGGGGACACCAGAAATGGGCTTCACACATTGTACCCATGTGGGGAATCGAACCCGGGTCTTTGGCGTGACGAACCAACGCTTTACCCACTAGGTTACCCCACCGCCCCCAACTAGCTTCTGAAGCTGGATAGTGTTCGGTGTTTGCGGATAGGTATCTGCACTTGACAAGTACATTAAACGTAAACAAGGCTTTAAATAAGTACAGCCAGCCTTCTAGAAACTGTCACCAACTATGTCTTCTTTAATTATGTCGTGTGCCGTCTGTCGAGGTCACTCTAAAATGCCGGAGGTCGTGTCACCTCAGGCCTCCGGGAACATGTGATATTTTATGAGCGTTTCATTCTGCTCCATTGAAATCACCAAGCAACATGAACAGTGGGTTGCGAGCAATAAGTAAAGTGTTTTGTGTAGTACACGCTGATATGTGCGACTGTTACATTGTTGATCTTACCTTCTGTGACAGGGCGTCTTGTACCCATCTGCACAGGCCTTCTGGGCGAGATGGTCTCCACCCCATGAAAGAAGTCGACTTATCGGATTCTCGTACGCTGGTAGGTTATCCCAAGGCTGTAACCCTCGCATAGTGTACCTAGACAGTTATAGTCTGGCGATATATAGTTGAGTAATAGTTCATTTCAAAGTATTTATTAAAAATATTTATTTACAAATATGTTGTGTCGAACTTTGATGTTTTGATCCTATGGTTGTCTCGAAGTTAAAACTTCTTCAGCCATCATTTTGCGGTTAACCCGAAGTGTTTGCATATATCTCTTCAGCTTCGACACAACCTTGTAAGACTTGCACATTTTACCAACACATCATACATAAAGTGTGTAGCCAAAGAAGACATACGCTTAAATTCAGACTAAGTAAACTTAGGCTCAGTATTATTCGTTACACTGCTATACTGAGCCTAAGTTTACTTAGACTGGTTTAAATTTGGATTAGACAAAAGAATTTACGAACCTTAACAAAACGAGACTGAAAATCTTCGCTGAAACACTTCAGTCTAAAAGTCCACAACTACGCCCACCGGTATCAAATACATCCCCATCCAATAAGCATATCTTCCTCGTCGCCATCAAACTTCAGTCGTCACGATATGGCTGAGATATTGCCGATGTGACGTTAAATATTAACTCACTCACTCACTCACTCAAACTTCATTATATACTTCATTAAGTCAGGAGGTAAGCTGCATTGGTTCAAACATTGTTTTCTTACGTTCGTTGTTTTATCTTATCACAGGTGGTCAGTTTGGTAACGCCATGATTTTCCCCGTCGGCGGTTACCTGTGTGCATACGGCTTCGACGGCGGATGGCCCTCTGTGTTTTACGTTATTGGTAAGACGGGGAGATGGGAGTGAGTGAGTATGGTTTTACGCCGCTTTTAGCAATATTCCATCAATATCACGGCGGGGGACACAGGTAATGAGCTTCACACATTATACCCTTGTGGGGAATCGAATCCGGGTCTCCGACGTGACGAGCGAACGTTTTAACCACTGGGCTACCCACCGCCCAGGCGAGATTGTGGTTGTTATTGAGGCGGCATTGACATGATTCTGTCTTTCAAAGCTCCTGAGCCAGTCAATGATTTGATGCCAACCCTTCTCGTCTCTGGACAATATATAATTTAATTTGTAAACCTAAACATTCTTACCGTACCTGAGACATGACTTGATGCCAACGCTACCTGTCTCTGGACAGTACATGCCCTATCATTCTCTTCCCACAGAGGTTACTGTGTCATATCTTCCTACGAACCTCTGTTCTAATACGGCCATATTTCCCGGTTCTCGTAAAATCCCCTAGCGGCAAAAGATCGCAACACGAATTATCTCCCTTCTTTCTATCCAATCAGAACACGTGTTACATCGACTTAGATTCAACTTGACTAACACAAGCAAATGTGGGGCCAAAAATATCCTCCATCTGCCGGGGACTTGTGTTGATGTTACACACAAGACGTTTAATGGCTAGCTTGTCCGTTGTCAACGAGGGCGATGGAGACGCCACTGATCCGCCATAACATGACTGAGTTCTGTCTAGAAGAAACGTTTGCACATCGCGCAGGGGAAGAGGTTTAGTTTTCTCGAAGCATACGGAAATTACCGAGGCCTTGCGAATGATCACTTTTGAAACAACGTCGCTGATTGCACAACTAAATCTGATTGCCTCCAATCACGAGTCTTGAACGCTCACACCATGAAAGGGCCGTATTAAAACAGAGGTTACGTAGGAAGATATGACAGGAGTAACCTCTGTGGGAAGAGAATGATTTGGACAGTGCGTCCTCTATTTGTGAGCCAAACATTCTTGCCGTATCTTAGACGTAACTTGACTGGTGGCAAAGAATTGTCTTTATTTGACGCGTAAATTGATATTTTCTAGTAAGACTGAAGTAGGTATTCGATCTGGCATGACATTTTCAGGAAGTGTGGGCTTCATCTGGTGCGTGTTCTGGAGTATATTCGCCAGTAACTCCCCCGCAGACTGCCCGAGGATCTCGGAGATAGAGAGGAAGTACATCGAGTACTCCGTTGGACCACTGAAGAAAGGAAAGCAGGTATGTACACCACGCACCTGCTGCATGGTTGTTGGTTGTTTAAAGCTGTACATCTAGCAACATTATTAAACAGTGATTGATGTTGTGAGTATCTATCTACCCGTCTTGGTAGGATGACACAAAATCAAAATCTCATCTTTTTTGGTGCCAAGGACGGTTGCTATTATGCAACGTTTAAGTTATCGCGATGACAGAGTCTGAAACGTTGAGTTTGAGGGCGTTAATCAACAGGGAGGGTGTTGCGACTTGTTTTGCAAAAACAGCAAGCTGATATACGATAAGACTTATTAAACATTGGCCAAAGTTGTTAGGGATCGTTCATAATTTATTGGCTATGGGGTGGGGTGTGGGTAGGGTGATGATGATTTTTATGGAGAAGCATGTACAATGGAAATGAACTCCCCCCCCCCCCAATGTTATGTACAATGTGACCCCACCCTGCATGTCATGCACAAAATCAATGACCCCCCTCCCTTTCCATTATTTTTTAGTATATTGTAAAATATTTTATGTACAAAATTGATGACCCCCCAGAACAAAAATGGGTGCGCCCCCCCTTAAAATCATCACACACACGCACAACCCAAACCATAAATTATGAACGGTCCCTTAGTGATACTTGTAAAAACATCAAGTTAATATGTGATAATGCATTACACATTGTTGATAGTTTTGTTATTGATAACATGTTGTTTATACCTGAATCATTGATATTTGCTAATGTTATCAATATTGAGGCAGTGATATTTATGTTATTTCTAACCACTCTGCAGACCACGCCCTGGAAGAGTATCTTCACGTCCCGGGCTGTTTGGGCCATCATCGTCGCCCACGTGTGCGGCAACTATGGAATTTACATGCTACTGACTCAACTCCCGACATACATGAAAGATGTACTCAAGTTCGATATCAAAGCGGTAAGACTCACCTCATTCAGATGTAGTTTTTCGTAAACGTGCTCTTCCATCGACCATCATCCTCGATAATCTCGATAAACCAGATTACAGTAGGTAGTGCGGACGGACAGTTTCACATGGGTATACGAGGGTATACGTTACGATCACTCTCCACTATACCCTGGATGCATCCACGGCTTGGGGCGATGATTTTATTACCTCCCTTGGCTGGCTCCGCATTCTCACAGTAGCCAATCAGCTAAGCCGCCGTTACAACCAAGCTGCCAGTGTCAACAAAGATTGCGGTCGCAGTTGCAAAGGTTTGTTCGCGGTGCCACTCAGATTTTTGGGGAAATAATAAAGACAAATTCACAGATCTGAAACTGTAAAAAGAATATATTAAAGAACTCCTTCTACTTCTTTCAGAGTACCTCTGCATCAATTGTGTTTCCAAGTTTAAATGGTTAGATAATTTAAGACGCGAAAGTGAGTAGTGATCCAGCGTAGGCACCTGACTGGATAAAAAGCCAGCAAAGGGAGGTAATAAAATCATCGCCCCCCCAAGCCGTGGATGCATCCAGGGTATAGTGGAGAGTGATCGTAACGTATACCCTGGAGATTATCGAGGATGATGGACCATGTGAAACTGTCCGTCCGCACTACCTACTGTAATCTGGTCCTCGGCGTCGCGATCACCTGCCAGAGTTGCGTCCCTTTGGAGTGGCAAAATAAAGGTCTACTTCTGTCTTGCCACTTTCATTCCGCTGAAACACCGTGACATAACTAGAACCCTGTTCAAAGTAACGTTTACACATTTGTCCTTATTTCAAGAACGACCGGCTCCGGAACAGCTTGTGTTCAATTCTGCCCTTCCTATTTTTCAGAACGGCCTGTTTTCCATGCTGCCCTATCTGTTTTTTTGGCTGTTGATCACCGTGTCTGGGACACTGGCTGATTTGCTCATATCCCGGAACATCCTCAGTGTGGCATGGACCCGAAAACTTATGACCTGTGTTGGTGTGTACATACCTGCAAGTAATTTTTGATGTCTGCGATCGCGATTTTGCTTGAATATTGCTAAAATTAGTGTAAAACCATTCTCACTCATTCACTCTATCCATACAGGTACAATAGCCCCTGCAATTTTCCTGATAGGAACAGGATATATGGACTGTACCCAGCAGATTGGTGCGGTCGTTATGATCACGGCGGCAGTGGGACTGTGCGGCTTCCACTTTAGCGGCCACTTCATCAACCACGGGGATATTGCGCCACGGTATGCTGGGACTATTTTCGGGATCACCAACACAGCGGCGACAGTTCCTGGTATCCTTGCGCCGTACGTTGTCGGAGCTATGACCAAAGATGTAAGTGCAACACATATCACAAACATATTACGTATGCATGTAAAGTCAATTTAGCCTAGGATGTTTTTCAATGTTAATGGGATAACGCAATCTGGTTTTATCTGCTTTCGGGAATCATATATTTGTAACGTAGGAACATTAGCAAATCTTTGACCCAAACTAATTCAACTATTTTTTGCTATGGCATTGTGTAGGCCTATGCATACCAAACTGATTCTTCGAGGACAAACCTATAATAAAAAATCCTTCTTAGATCCTGAGGTAGCTCATAATCGAATTTTCTTTTGAAGTTCTGTTCATTCGTTTTAGTGCACTTTTGTGTGAGAAGTCCCAAAGGTGCAAGAACACAAATACTAGCTCGTACCCATTTGAACAGGTCTGGTAATTTGTATTTCAACATTACACAGGAGTCTGTAATTTTCAAATTTGACGTTTCTAATAGGCCCAAAGGGCCATTAATCTATCCCGTCCTGTTGGTTTAGTTCTTCGTTGTAAAACAGCCAGTTACACATAATCTGTCGGACAGTCCGTCCGTCTTTCTGCGTCTGCCAACCTGTCTTCCTTCTCTTCCAGGGAACAAGACAACAATGGCTGTCGACCTTCTACGTGGCAGCGGCTGTGTACATCTTCGGCGCCGTCTTCTATCTGTTCATGGCGATGGGCACCGTTCAACCATGGGCGGAGGTCGGCGACAAGAACAAGCCTGGTGAGCAAGACAACATGGTGACGCTCAATCTGAACGACATCACCGAGGAGGGCCATGATGGAGATCAGGATCACCCGGAAAAGACACTAATGACGAATGCTACGAAGGATGTTTGAGGATTCCGACGGTGTTTAGGGTACAGGTGCATTGGGTGTGTAGGAATGTGTATTTGAATGGGAATATATGTCCATCAATGTGTCGACCGTCTGGTCGGAAGCAGAGATAGTCAAGGGTATCAACGCTCTTGATTTCCAAAGTACTACAGCTTGGAAACTATATACAGCCAAACAGCGTTGTGTCGAAGTTCGCAAATACTTCGACATATCCGGGGTTCGACTAAAGCGGGACCATACAGAGACAACCTGAAGTACCACACATCGAAGTTTGACACAGCGTTGTTTGACGTTATATTTAAGCAAAAGCATTATGTATTTATGAGACCCCAGCAACAATCCAAACTATTTTTGCTATACATCTCGCTGTCCATCCTGCCTGCCTTTACAGCAGGCCTGCTTGGTTTAGTTTTATCATTAATACTCAATGAGCTCTAGACAAACTAATATCCCGTCCGCTGCTACCTGGCTAATGCGAATGAGTTGGTCGTAATATGAAGGTGACTCAACACACATGTTCCTGTTAGTCATTTACAAACTATTTGATTTACGATACGTCCAGACAACCATTTCCTCCCGTCCTGTTTGTTATCAGAATTGTAAATAAAGAGTCATTAACAATTAGATTGATGGATATGGCAAGGGAAGCAACTCTTGACTAGGTGACTATTTGTCTCGCACAGGAATCAGAAATAGATTGCCCGACCTGGAACAATTGTGCATTGTAAAAAAAAATATTGCCTTTATGTATTACTCAAACTGACAAATGTCACTCAACACATTACATTGGAAGGGAGCCATCTGCAGTGGAATTCAGTCTTGGACGCAGAAGGTAGAATTTAATGCGTTTACATTGCATTAAAGAAACACACAACTTTAGTGAGTGAGTGAGTTCAGTTTTACGCCGCTTTTAACAATATCCCAGTTATATCACGGCGGGGGACACCAGAAATGGGCTTCACACATTATATCCATGTGGGGAATCGAATCCGGGTCTTTGGCGTGACGAGCGAACGCTTTAACCATTAGGCTACCCCGACGCCCCTCACACAACTTTAGAATTCAATTCAATGCGTTTTGGGTAAGGCTCTAGTATTTTCTCCTACCCGCCCTAATTTTTCATTCCGACTTGAGTAGAATGAAAAAGGTTTTCCTATTTCAATTTACCTCGCCACTTCGGAAAAGTATGCCCCATGTAATATAAGAATAACAACTACAATCAGGGGCTACCATTATTAAAAAAAGCCCGGGCTTACACTTGATTTTGGCTAAATAGGTTGGGCAAGTCCTCAATACTATCTAAATATAAAGCTTTGCAACCTATCGGGCTTACACGAAAAAAAATGGGCCGGCTTGCTACGCGCCTGATAATTGCTGAGCCATTGTAGAGTCATTAAAAAACAAAGGTCTCTTCTCTCTATATATATTGATTATTACTCTTTCAAAAACAGTTTTATATATTATCTTATTTCTTTATTATATTTCTCCCGCGCACTTTCGTCTTGGTTGAGGTCGGAGAAACACATACAAAACTTATTAATGATCAAAATCTAGGTGCAGCATATTTCAAGAACAATATGTGAGAGCTCAGAGCTGGTGCTAAATGCAATGACGTTTTAGTATAATACAATAATACATGTATATTTTCCTGCTAATAACGCATTCCTCTAGCTATTTTAACTCAGTAAATATATACTTCAGATTTGAGCGTTGAATCTAAGCACTGAGATTGTTTATGTTTTGGAAGCGCCTATCGTGAGATTACTTGTTGCTGTCACTCGTGTCTTCACGATACAAGGGAGTTAACTCACTATAAACGATCCAGGTTATAGTCAGTTAACTCCCTTGCCAAGGAAGACGATTCAAATAAGGAGTAAATATATTATAAGTGCTATATATATTTTAATATATACATAGTCTTGGTGTTGAAATATTTGCCGTGTATGTATTTTATTGGTTTATTTTGTATATGGTTGTTAATGTTTTGAGATTTTAATGTACATAAATATATATTAACATTTTGAGATGTGTTCCGGTGAATGGCATTGTCCTTTGGATGATGTTTCTCAAACGTGATAGATTATGTTCAAGAATTTCACTACATTGCGCATGTCAGGAAGATCAACACTACACTTACACGTATGAACGCTGACAGGTTACTTGAAGTCTTTGAGCTGAAATCAGTTCAGCCCGTTAGTCAGAGAAGGTTTGAACAGTTTCACAAACTGGTGAATTGTTTCATTGTGGTAAACATTGTGTTTCCAAACTCTTGCTTAAACTTTGTCCTGTTTCTTTGTATTCCACAAGAACTCACAAAGGTAAGGGAATAACTCTCATTACATCATGACCATACATGGAACTGTCCAGCAGCGGGGCATGAGATTATATGTTGCTACACAGTATTAGCAATTCATTTATCAGGAGAGTACTCATTAAACAGGTACATGGACATTAACCATATCACAAATTCATACACGTATTAACAGAGACCATATAATAGAGGGACGGCCCTCGAGCCAATGCGCAAAACCATCAGCGCTACGGCTTGTACTGCGCAGCCTATCCGGAAGCTGGCGAAAACGTGTGTTCACTTCAGTCATCGATTTCGCGTATTTTCATTGCAAAGGTAAGAGGTAAATTTTTTCATACTATATGGTCTCTGGTAGTAATGATAATGCCTGACATTACATGTTGTACCTGATTGTTGATGACAAATTATTTCTCTCCAACAGAGTATTACATGTATCCATCCATCCATTCCACCTACCTATATCTAGACCAGGGGCGGAGCCGGGGTGGGTCTCCCCTTCTCCCTCAAAATAATTTTCCCTTAATAGCATTTCCCCCTAACTTTTGGACTTCCTGATTTATGTGCACCCCACTTCTCCAAACTCCTGGATCCGAACCTGTAGCCGGGATATTCATTTAAGTGGTTAGTCAAGAGGTTAAATGTGCCATCGGGGATGTTGCACGTGTGGATTCAGAATTACGATCCTTCCAAATAGAATGGACGAAAATCAATCCATATTCATAATAAACCATTGCCAAACACAGAGTCTATATAATGAGTCCGGCTATATCATGTGCATGTGTTATTACTATCAAATAGTCGTGAAGTTTGGACAGCATTCATCAAGCATGTCATCAAATCTGTACTTTCAGATGCCCGCCCGGCTAGTCGCCGAGCTGAACGAATCATGGGTATTTATGGTTTGGGGGTTAACACCATCGTAGTTTTCAATTTGTTATTATGAGAATGTGTGATGAATGTGACTTGCTTCTGTTTGCATGTCCCCATAGTTCATCCATTATCGTTTCATCAAATACTCGAATTATTTGAGAACTGTTTAGTTTGGTGGAACAGTGAATGCATATGTTTAAAGCTTTTGAGAACATTGTTATTGTTCATTAAAAGAGTTTATTTCTGTTTCTTGTAATGGCGTTATAAGAAGATCTGGACTAAAATGGAACGTTTTTGATTAAAAAAACCCGCAGTCTTTTTGTTTGTCGTTCATGTGTTTACCGATGAACTTCATGTACTAAAAGGGGTCGGTGGGGTAGCCTGATGGTCAAGGCTTTCGCTCGTCACGCCGAAGGCCCGGGTTCGATTCCCAACATGGGTACAATCTGTGAAGTCCATATATGGTGTCCCCCCGCCGTGATGTTGCTGAAATATTGCTAAAGGCGGCGTAAATACTAACTCACTCATGTACTAAACATTGTTAAAGTCAAAATGGCCTCTCTTGACAAGCCCTTATCTCCACTGCTGATCCCGTACAGTGATTTCAAACCCACTATCAAAAGCTATACTCGGGACCTCAAGCAAAAACGATGGGACACTCAAGTAGGAAGAAATAAACTGTATGAATTGAAACCAACAATTGGTTATACCTACTTGGGTTGTCAGTCAAGACGTGATGAGGTAATTTTACGACGATGTCGTATTGGCCACAGTCGATTTACTCATGACAATCTGCTGAAAACGGATGGGGATGGACCCCCCATGTGTGTCTCTTGCGATGAGGTTTTCACCATCAAGCATATTCTGCTTGAATGCATGGACTTATCGTCTGCAAGGGACTCACATTATGATGCAACAAACCTAAAAGATCCCGCGTGAGCACTCATCTGATAGTGAACTACCTGAGGGAAGTTGATCTGTATCATAAATTGTAACTGTCAAATGTGACTAACAAATTGCCTGCCTTTAAATTTGATGCTATGACTTTTTCTGCTTTTAAATGACAATGTAATGAATATATGTTTTTGAAATAAAACTCATTCCGAGTATGTACTTACAATGTTTACTAATGCAAACTTGTTCTCGTCACTATATGGCAGGAATAATGCCGATGTGACGCAAAACCCAACTCAACTCAACTCTTCACGACAGGAGATGTTGTGTGAGTGTGTCTAACAGCCGTGTTGAACTGTATTACAGTCATGTCAATGCGCATCAGTTTCATATGAGAAGAACGTCCGTGGTGATGCAGGTGTCTGACAAACACTTCGAGTTATCCGTGGGTTGACACAACCGCAAAATGATGACTACGTAAGAACTATAGAGGGAGCGTTCTTTTCTTTCGAGTAAGTTTATTTTACGCTGCTTTTAGCAATATTCTAGCAATATCACGGCGGGGGGACACCAGAAATGGGCTTCACACATTGTACCCATATGGGGAATCGAACCGGGGTCTTAGGCGTGACAAGCGAACGCTTTAACCACTAGGCTACCCCACCGGCCTTTTCATCGAGACAATCGTAAGTTCGACACAACTTTGTTTGTTTATGTGTTTTGTTTGTTTTTAACGCCGCACTCGCCAATATTCCATCTATAAGTAGTCGGTCTGCAGTAGAATCGAATGTGGTCCAGACAAGCCAGTGATTTCATATGAACAACGTGCTGCACGTGATAATGGGGATGGGGGTGATGTTCAAGGAGCCTGATCAGCCGACCCATTGTGTCAGAGGTTTGTGGAGTCCTCTTCTAACCACAGGGTATTAGGATTTACAGCTCTGTCATACTTCTCTTGCGTCAGTGAAATAAACACCATACTATACATATGTTTCACATGTAAACATACCAGAACAGTGTCTTGTTGTCCGACTCAATACTGGACATACTGGACACATTGCCAGTAACCGTGCCATTACCTGACCAGTTACAAGTACTGGACGTTGATAAGGATTCAGTTCGAATCTCTCCAACACTAAACATCATTCTCCCTAGGCTGACTGAGCAGGGGCTTGTTCAACGCGTCTTCATCTTTAACCGATCCTCGACCTTGACCTTGATCCTCCGCGAACTTTTGCCCCGTGTCTCCATCAACCATGTTCTGTCCCTCATCAAACCCCGCGTCCCCTTCGTTTATCAGGTGCGCTGACGTCCCTGCAGGTTCAACACCAGCGTCAGCAACATTATCAGACACTGCCACAGCACATTCTGACATGCCCAGTTCATCTCGTGGACAATCCGCTTCAGACGTGTCCTTGACTGTATGCGTCGTACGATCATGAACGTCCCAGGGCTGGGGCTTTCCGTCAGAGAACAGAGCGAAAATAAGCCCTCCTGCAAAGCTGGTCCCAGCTGCCACATAGAAAGCTTTCTGCCATTCCTCTCTCGTGCGCTGAAATATATACGAAATGCCACATCTACAGATCCAAACATGTTACAACCATGTTTTAACATGCACACGCTAACATTTATATCTCCTATTGACTTCTAAATTTGGCTTCGCCATTTCTCGATTCTGGATAATTAGAAAATTCAAGTTAGAAACATGTCTCAGATCTAAACAGGCGAATAACGGACATCAACATCGATAATGCGGGAATGGATTTAGGAGTAATAGTAGGTTTAACGGAACCCGAACCCTATAGAAGAAATCGTGGCATCAGTCAACTCGGATCTACACGGGATATCGTAGGCGGATCCAGAGGGTGGGTGTGTGGGGTGTGTACAGGGGTGAAAATGAACTGTGCAAACCCCCCAACCTACCCCTTTCTGAACTGTGCACTCCCCTTTCTCAAAAAGCTGTGTCCGCCCCTGGTTATTTTGTTAAAGAAAGAGGTAGACCCATTTCATATTATGAGACGAAGAATAACAGTTTGTGCGTGTGTGTTTGTGTGCGTGCGTGTGTGCGTGCGTGCGTGCGTGCGTGCGTGCGTGTTTGCTTGCGCGTGTCTTTGTGTTTACTCAGGCTGAAAAAAGAGACTTATTAACAGAGGTCTTATTAAGAGAACGCCGGTGTATATCTACTCACAGTATGGGAGACTAACGTTAATTATGTGTACCTACATTCGGAGTCAATGTAGAGACGACGTAAGGTGCCACGATGCCAGACAGGGTGGCTATTGTGTCGGAGACCCCGGCCAGAGTCCCAGAGTGAGCCTGGGTGATGTCAGCAAAGTTCGATATGTGACCACAAAAGCAGAAGCCGAACGCCGCCAAGGTGAGACAGAGTGTCGATACCGACATCCCCTCCCAGCCACAATGCGCCTGCGCAAGGATGATCACCAAGGTTCCGGATCCAAACATACCTAAAAGTAAACAGCCAGATCTCTTGATATGATCCTATGAACATTGCATGTTTAGTATTCCTGAATGTTATGTTTACGTTTATAGCACAAAGCATAAAGATCCTGTTGAGTTTAATTAAATCTACATATACATACTAGTGTTGGGAATTGGTTAAAATCTCATAATTGATGATTCGTCCATTACAACCGATCAATCATCGAAAATAATTGGTTAGCGTCATTAACAAATGTTCCTGTTGTCTTTGTAAAAAATAAAGGAAAAACATGTAGTAATTTAGATTTTTTAGCAAATTAAACAAAATCCATTTGCAAATTTTGCATATTTAAAGGATTATTTGTATGTTAGGAACACAGATTTCCTGGATTCTTTAAGATAAATTCAATCATGACTTGGAACGAGCTTGTCGTGCTTATGAAATTTAAATTGAATGACACAGACAAAAGCAACCTTGTGAAAAATATTGTTGATGCAAACAAGAGTTCGATTATGAGAAAATATGTTCGATTGCTTGGTCGTTTAGTCACTGCGACCAATCTTCGATTATTTCAATTAATCGCACCACCACTAATACATACTTGCCTCAACTGAGTGTTTAGGGTTTAAGATCACTTTGAACAGGTTCTTTTGCTTGTTGTTAAACGCCGCAGTCCAGCTATATGATGGCGGTCTGTAAATAATCGGGTCTGGACCAGACAATCCAGTGATCAATATCATGCGCATTGATCTACGCAATTGGGATACGATGACATGCGTCAATCAAGTCAGTGAGCCTGACCACCCGCTCCTGTGAGTCGCCTCTTACGACAAGCATGGGTTCCTGAAGATCAAATCTAACCCGGACCTTCACGGGTCACACAGGAACGCCTGCAGGTTTTCTACGTTTACAACTTCGGTTTCACACCCACTAAGGACAGGCATTGTGCAAGAAACATTATCGAGAAAGCTTACCTAGAGAGTTCATTAACCTGCGCGTTGTTCGCACCGTGAACTTGACCTTTGTGGATGAGCCAGTCCGAGACGTGACTCGCGACGTTGATGACGATGATCATACATGCGTATGGCAACATGGAATACACGCCGTTCTGCAACGACAAACATACGTAAATAAGAGTAAAATTTGTAATCCGCGGTGAATGCATATTGCTAAAATGCGTAAAACCAACACTACTCAAGTAATGTGATGACAAAAGTATACCTTTGGACTGCGTTACCGACGTAAAGTTGACCCCAGTAACCTCGTTCAGATAAGAGGGCATCTGGGTGAAGAGAAGATAGAGGAAGAAATTGGCCATGGTGTGAGTGAAGACCAACGCCCATACTGGCCCTGACTTCAGGAGGGCCAACCAAGGGGTGCTCTGTTTCTGCAGGGCAGCCAATAGAAAGTGATGGAGCTGGAATATTGCTGAGTGTGGCGTTAAACAACAAACAAACAAACAAAGTGATGGATCCGAGGATGACGAAGTATGAACAGACGACTTCTGTTTCGCTTGTTTGTATGTATGTATGTATGTATGTATGTATGTATGTATGTATGTATGTATGTATGTGTGTATGTATGTATGTATGTATGTACTTGTATGTATGTATGTGTATGTATGTATGTATGTGTGTGTGTGTGTACTTATGTATGTATGTACTTATGTATGTATGTGTGTGTGTGTGTGTGTACTTATGTATGTATGTACTTATGTATGTATGTACTTATGTATGTATGTATGTGTGTGTGTGTGTGTACTTATGTATGTACGTACTTATGTATGTATGTACTTATGTATGTATGTATGTGTGTGTGTGTGTGTGTACTTATGTATGTATGTACTTATGTATGTATGTGTGTGTGTGTGTACTTATGTATGTATGTATATGTATGTATGTATGTATGTATGTATGTATGTATGTATGTATGTACTTATGTATGTATGTATGTATGTATGTGTGTATGTATGTGTGTGTGTGTACTTATGTATGTACGTACTTATGTATGTATGTACTTATGTATGTATGTGTGTGTGTGTGTACTTATGTATGTACGTACTTATGTATGTATGTACGTACTTATGTATGTATGTATGTGTGTGTGTGTGTACTTATGTATGTATGTATGTATGTGTGTGTGTGTGGGTGTGTGTGTACTTATGTATGTACTTATGTATGTATGTACGTACTTATGTATGTATGTATGTGTGTATGTGTCAGGTGTGTGTGTATGTATGTATGTATGTATGTTGTATGTGTGTGTGTGTATGTATGTGTGCATGTGTGTGTGTGTACCATGTATGTATGTATGTATGTATGTATGTATGTATGTATGTGTGTGTGTGTGTGTGTGTACTTATGTATTTACATGTACTTATGTATGTATGTATGTATGTATGTATGTATGTATGTATGTATGTATGTATGTATGTATGTATGTATGTATGTATGTATGTATGTATGTATGTATGTATGTATGTATGTATGTATGTATGTATGTATGTATGTATGTATGTATGTATGTATGTTTATGTATGTATGTATGTATGTATGTATGTATGTCGGATCCAGAAATGTTGCAGCAAAATGACTGCAGTTTGCAAATAATGAAATCTGGACCAAACAATCGAGTGATTGACATCACGTCTTCGATCTAATGGGATACAATGATATGCATCAATCAAGCCAGGCACCTTCCACTTAAGGAGACAATATGATTAGCTTAGTTTCGGTCTTACCCGTTTCGACTTGAGTCTGTCTCGGACCTTCCATTCAATATATCTCCGCTCAGTGTCCGATACCCATCTGCTCTGCCTGGGAGAGTCTCTGACCACGACGGACCACAGGATGCACCATAGTAGACACGCCCCACCTAACAGAGAGTGAGAGAGTGAGTGAGTGAGTGAGTGAGTGAGTGAGTGAGTGAGTGAGTGAGTGAGTGAGTGAGTGAGTGAGTGAGTGAGTGAGTGAGTGAGTCAGTCATGAGTCAGTCAGTCAGTCAGTCAGTCAGTCAGTCAGTCAGTCAGTCAGTCAGTCAGTCAGTCAGTCAGGTATTTTACGACGTTTTAGCAGCAGCACCATGTGACTGAAGCCCATGGCTAGGGGTATGGGTCTTACATACCAATAATTGTAAAAGCGAATATGGGATTCGAACTCATGAACATGATATTTCGGCATGCCCTGGGACGCAACTGTGCTGAAAATAGCGGAACCTTTGTCAGCTGCCCCCTGTGCCCGAAACCAATACTCATGCAGCTAAAGAGACGCCATAATCGTGGTCGTCGTCGCCCTCATCACTGCCAACTATACAGCAACTCCAGATATTTTATTGTTATCCTTATCTGAGTTTTAAAATTCTTTAAATAAATTCCGTTTTATTAAGAGAACTCGGCATTTTTGTATTCAAAAGTGCAAAAATGCACCTCCAACACCAACCTGTGACATAGAAGATGGAGGGCCAGCCTCCAGCAAATCCATATCGACAGAGGAAACCATTGAGAAGATAGCCATAAGCGTTGCCAGTCTCTCCCCCTGAAAACAGACCACAGAAGATAGAGGGCATCCTCGATGATACAGGTTACTATATCTGCATTCTGTTGTCGTAACAACACTCAGGCAGTTCTCCGATGTGTTTGGAGTCCGATTCGAATGGTAGCGAATGGAACATGGTTACCATATATCCTCGAATAAAATCCCAGGCGTATATGTGTTTCAGACACTATATTACTCCTGTGTTTAATTGCAAAAATGATGATGGAGAGAGACTTCTGTGTGTAAAACAGGGCTCGGCGTGTATTTGAGTAACATGCGGTTCTTTTTACGATAGAATGAAAATATATGCACTGGTTTATCGAAAATGATGGCCATAACGATAGCGTCACTTCTGACTGAGTGATATCAACAGATTGTCTATGAAAAAATGTGGGTAAAGACCTGAGACGGAGAAAGACGTGATTAAATTTGGGGCAAAATGTGTTTTGTTTCCATTATAATTTCAGGAACATGTTTTTTTCAAGTAATGCCAGCCACAAACATCCCTGATGATGATCACACTGCAGTTTATCGCCGTCTTACCGGACAGTGAGAACCCCAGGAGTTTCATCCACTCGTCAGGAGGAGCCCATCTCGACCAGAACACCGGAATGGACGGGAACACAACCGACTGGACACAACAGAACAGCCACAGTACTATTACAATGTTCACCTCCGACAAAAAGCACGTTTCATTAAAAACGAAGTATGAGGGGAGTGGATGAATTTGGTGTAATGCCGGAATGTTTTAGAAAGAATGGATTTCATACAAGGTAACCAGGCGATGAATCGAACCCGGGCCATAGTCGTTTTAAGTCACCGCTTTAACCACTCGACTACCATACTAATCAGTAGCAATACAAAGCGAACATGTGGGTGAGTGACTGAGTATGTTTTTAACAATATTCAAGCAAAATATCATGATTGGGAATACCATGGTTATACACCATCAATCAATCAGTGTGTGGAATCGAACCCGGGTCTTCAAGCGAACGCTTGAAACACTTGACTACCCTATCCTCTATGCGGAAGCAGATCGTTGTATTGATACCGACTCGTGGTATTAAATGGATACATAGTACTCAAAAGAGTGAATGAGAGAGTTTAGTTTTACGCTGCACTCAGCAATATTCCAGCTATATAGCGGCGGTCTGTAAATAATCGAGTCTGGACCAGACAATCCAGGGATCAACAGAATGAACGTCGATCTACGCAATTGGGATACGATGACATGTGTCAACCCAGTCAGCGAGCCTGACCGCCCGATCCCGTTAGTCGCCTCTTACGACAAGCATGGGTTACTGAAGATCAATTCTAACCCGGACCTTCACGGGTAGTACTTAAAAGAAAACAAAGAACGTCCGATGTTGTGATCATAAGAGTAACTACAGTCACAATAAAACAAGACGGTGTCCTCTAACTTGTTTTCAGCAGCATATTAGGGCATTACGGTGAAACGTGATCCGTCTCCAACATTAAAACTCACTGAACAAAATCCAACGGTGATCCTGAGAAACAAGAGGAAGTAGGGCTGATCCTTCGCAGCTACTGGAGACAGGATGGTTGCTATGGCAGTAGGAATCATACCAAGGGCGATAACTCTAGTTGCACCGAAACGTTCGCTGAGCCAGCCACCGGAAATGAGCATACCCAGGCATCCCCAGAATGAGCCACCGAGAAGAACTCCTTGCAGCTCCTTGGACCACGTGAATTCGCCTTGCTGCATAACAACAATAATTACAATAATGATAAGTGTTTCTACAGGTTGATCAGGGCATGCTCACACTTAACGAGAACACCTGGTGTCGATACAGATTTTCAATGATCCTTTCATATCATTTTCATCACTATTAAAGTGAAGCAGCCTGCTTGCACCTATGATACAACCTATATAGATCCTAATAGCTAAACTATTCTACACGTGTTTTTAACTTTCAAGTCTAATCTACTTCCGGGTACTACAAAAAGTCCTAATTCTGCACAATGCGGAACACACCCGCACAACACTATTTTACCCTTTCCGGTATATGGAAAGGGACACTGCAGATGATAGAAACTGGTTGGTCTCACGTTTTGAATTGTATTGCAATAATATTTCATATTTCGCTTCAAGCCATCAGAAATATAATACTGACAGTAGGTGAGGGGAGACAATCGATGGATTGTTTGTTGTCTCCAGCTTCAGCAATACTCCAGCTAGACGACAGACTAAATAATCCAGACTGGACCAGACAATCAGGTGAGTAAGCGAATGTGGTTTTACGTCGCTTTATTCAAGCAATATCACCACGGCGGACCAGAAATGCGCTTCACACATTGTACCCACGTGGGGAATCGAACCCGGGTCTTCGGCGTGACGAGCGAACGCTTTAACCACTAGGCTATCCCACCGCCCCAAACAACCCAGTGACTGACATGTACTCAGATGGGAATGGGAGCATCATCCGATGAGTATTGGTTTCCGCTGTTTAGTATTGAATCTATTAATACAACAAACTTACAAGCTCGTATTCAGTAATATTATCGCCTTCTTTCGTCCATGTTCTGCATTGCTCGCCAGCTACCGACGACGACACATTGACGTCATTCAGTGACGTGGTGTTGATGTCATGCCTCACCATACACACGATGGCGATGCTTAGATTCGACCTGAGTGTGTTCTGCAGCGAGAATCCCAAGAACAGGATGACTGCTATGAGGTAGCGCTGAGATTTATACCACCGAACTGCAAACAAGAGTGATTGAGTGTTATGATGTAATGTTTCACAATATATGGCTACGTGTTTCACAATTCACAATGGAGATGTTTCACAATGCATGGCTTCATGTTTCACAATGCATTGCTACCTGTTTCATAATGCACTGGTAAATGTTTCACAATGCATGTTGGAGATGTTTCACAACGCATGGCTACATGTTTCACAACGCATGGCTACATGTTTCACAATGCATTGCTACCTGTTTCATAATGCACTGGTAAATGTTTCACAATGCATGTTGGAGATGTTTCACAACGCATGGCTGCGTGTTTAATACTGCATGTTGGAGATGTTTCACAAAGCATTGATAGCTACATGTTTCATACTACATTACTGCGTTTCACAATGCATGTTGGAGATGTTTCACAACGCATGTTGGAGATGTTTCACAGTGCATGTTGGAGATGTTTCACAGTGCATAGCTACATGTTTCACAGTGCATAGCTACATGATTCACAGTGCATAGCTACATGTTTCACAACGCATGTTGGAGATGTTTCACAACGCATGTTGGAGATGTTTCACAGTGCATGTTGGAGATGTTTCACAGTGCATAGCTACATGTTTCACAACGCATGTTGGAGATGTTTCACAACGCATGTTGGAGATGTTTCACAGTGCATGTTGGAGATGTTTCACAGTGCATAGCTACATGTTTCACAACGCATGTTGGAGATGTTTCACAACGCATGTTGGAGATGTTTCACAATGCATGTTGGAGATGTTTCACAACGCATGTTGGAGATGTTTCACAATGCATGTTGGAGATGTTTCACAGTGCATAGCTACATGTTTCACAACGCATGTTGGAGATGTTTCACAATGCATGTTGGAGATGTTTCACAACGCATGTTAGAGATGTTTCACAGTGCATAGCTACATGTTTCACAGTGCATACTGGAGATTTTCTCAATGCATTGATAGCTTAATGTTTCATACTACATTACTACGTTTTCAGATGCATGGCTACATGTTTCACAATGCATGCTGGATATGTTTCGTTGATAGCTACATGTTTAACACATGATCTTCGCAAAAAAACAACATTTAAGAAATATACCTTTGTACATCAATAATAACCACGTAATTCATTCCTTACAATGCAGTAATCTCTCGCCCTTATTGTCTTACTCAGATTATATTAAGGATGTTTTAGTTTTACGCAGTTCCTTTCTATAGTGTCATTGCTATTTGTTGCAACTCTTGCTTTTTATTATTTTTAAATTGACATTTTATGTACGTGGGTCTTAGGCCTTTCTACTGAATAAATCATTGATTGATTGATTAACTCTACATGGCTGCATGTCTCATAATACACGATGGAGACGTTCACAGTGCTTTCACAATGCATGTTGGCGGTGATTCACAATGCATGGCTATGTGTTTCGTCATGCCAATGACATGTTTCATAATGCTACCTGGTGTATTGTACTGACCGTCAGGCAGCTCCTGACCACTGTCCGAGCACTCCCCCGCATCCATGTCCACTCTGATCACACGGACACCACATTACCAAACCGTGTTGATGTGTGGAGGATGATCTCCCACCTGTGTAGGAAGGGATACAACACAAACTATTGTACAACATAGCTAACAGTTTTAACACTTTGAATTCTGTGCAGCCTAGGAAATAGTCTTTGTTCATGCATGTACTTACATCGGCAATCAGATACGTTAGATACGTACAGATACGTTAGATACGTACAGATACGTTAACTATATGTTAATATGCACATTGAAAACTCATCCTTTCAACTGACCTGTTTTCTTACATAAGTAAGTGAGTTTAGTTTTACGCCGATTTTATCAATATCCCAGCAATATTACGGCAGTAGACACCAGACATGGGCTTTACACACTGTAAAGGAATCGAACCCAAGTTTGCGGCGTGACAAGCGAACGCTTCAACATTAGACTACCACACCGCCCCTTCAGTGGATAAGGTGGCATGAGGGGCCATTATTCAGATACGGTAACAGAACCGTTCTAAATTCCAGACTATAGAGTCTGGATAATCGATAGGAACACTTACGAACATGCACATTGGCTATCTAGGCTGGAAATGAGGCGTACTGTGATGAAAGGATTTAGCGCTTGTACACAAATAGAATTTATCCTCACCCATTTCTAATACTTGCACATTAGTATCAAACGTAAAAGCAATGTCCTATATGAAACTCATTATCTCTCGTTTACTACATATTCCATCGGGGCGGTGGGGTAGCCTAGTGGTTAAGGCGTTCGCTCGTCACGCCGAAAACCCGGGTTCGATTCCCCACATGGGCACAATGGGTTAAGTCCATTTCTGGTGTCCCCCGCCGTGATATTGCTGGAATATTGCTAAAAGCGACGTAAAACTTAAGTCACTCACTCACTCATATTCCATCACAATGAATTGGTACATGAGCGCACGCCTTTGGTGTTTCGGGATAACCAATATACAGGAGGCCAAACACATGGACGTGTAGGAGGACGAGCACGTGGAAGTCCTCCCTTGGAGGAAGTGAGGGAATTCAGCCTCCAGTACTGCCGAGTTGCTACAACGTGCAACGTGCAACGTGCAACGTGCAACCATGTTAATTGTGTGTCCTCGTTACCTCCTAACAGTGGTTTGGGTGGTCCGGATTTGAACACATACCTGTGCCGCCTATGACACAGCTGCAATATTGCGGTCTGGCTACAACTTAACGTAAGAACATCATTCACTCCTTCAGACAATAATTATGGCTAATATGACCAATGACATCTAAAGTGTCAATATAACAATACTACAGAGTACCACTCGGTGGTAGGAAGGATGTAGAGGTTATTGATTTGTTTGTTTGCTGTTTTACGCCGCACTCAGCAAAATTCCAGCTAGATGGCGACGGTCAGTAAATAATCGAGACTAGACCAGACAATCCAGTGGTCAATAGCATGAGCATCGATCTACGTAATTGGGATACAATGACATGTGTCAACCAAGTCAGCGAGCCTAACCACACGATCCCGTTAGCCGCCTATTTCGACAAGGGTTTGCTGAAGACCAATTCTAACCCGGATCTTCACGGGTATATAGAGAGTATTATACTGACATGTGCGTCATATACTAATGTTGAGAAACAAATGTCGGAGTTCCTGTTATTACCGAGCGAGAGCGAGGACAAATGTAATATAACCAGTTATACACACATGCGAGTGTACTAATATCATATGAGCTATTTTTGCCTGGAGCTCCCCTTTGGGCAGAATGCACCCGTAACCAGCTGGCCTTCGTGCCGTTATACAAAGCTATATCAGCGCTTAGGTGACCGTAACTCCCACCCTTTAACATAGATGTTTAGGTAGTCTTAGCGCTTAGGTTGTTTTGTACAACAGCACCCTGAACTGTATAGGAAATCCTGTCAGCGTGCCTGAACAGAAAACACGACTTTAATACACCGTCACTTGATCTGAACTACAAAACAAACCCTAACTTTGCCCCGTAACCTGGCCTGAACTATAGCAAACCTGACTTGAGTGCCTTTGGAGCTATCCTTTAGGTAGAAACCCTCACTTCAGTGCCATGCAATCTGGCATGGGCTATGGAAACCTGGGCCCATTTGCATAAAGCGACCTTAGTGTTACGATGATCGTCACTCCCATACTCTAACATAGACTTAAGACGGTCTTAGCGCTAAAATCGCTTTGTTCAAGTGAGCCCTGGCCTTAACTATAGGACACCTGACCTATGAAATATATCATTTATCGACCCATACCCCTCTCATAAGAAGGGGCGACAAGAGTAGCCTACTGGTTAAAGCGTTCGCTTGTCACGCCGAAGGCCCGGGTTCGATTCCCTACATGGGTACAATGTGTGAGCCCATTTCTGGTGTCCCCCGCCGTGAAATTGCTGGTATATTGCTAAAAAGCGGCGTAAAACCAAACTCACTCACTAACACCCTGTCATAAGATGGTGAGTCTCCAGTTAAATTTACTATGACCTGATCATCGGGACAATCGTACCATGGACAAATGAGTCACACGACGGGAGAGGCTGCAGTACAAATGTCCGCCTCCGGGTGAGATTTCCACATACATACATAGCCCATCAAGCATGGCCTGACAAATCCCACTCACCTAGCCCTTAACAAAGGCCAGTATATATTTCCGTCGTTTAAACTAGGAGTGTATGTCACGCTGATCACACTGCAAATAAATAGACTGTCTGAATTGCAGCGGTTGTGTGGCACAAGATCCGCTCAATGAATAAGGCACCTGACCTCACCTGAACAAATTGTGACGCCAAAGAGTTACTTCCCTTGAGTACAGAAATTCTTTCAATGCAGGTACAAGTTATTCAAGCAAAACAGACATTGCTTAGTCGGTACAGCGGTTATCTCCCTTCTCTAAGAATAATCAAGGTGATAGTATTCTTACTTCTTCAGGTTATGCCCCTGAGGTAAATACTCTCGTCATGATTTAGGGACGTGCTTGAAGGGAGAATTCGGGTGAACTGCATAGCACAACTAACGCTAACAGGACGAGAGGAGACGACAGTCTTTTGAGACATAATCCTGTCCCTATCAACATTCAGGGACAATGAATCCTAAACATCTCCACATTTTAAAGATCGTCGTCGATGTGGTTGTTCTTTTAACAGGTGAGTGGATGGTAGGGGAGAGGAAGGTGGCTGAAATAGAGGTTGAAAGCACTCGGCTCTTGTCGTCGTAAAGGTGTAACCCCTAGGCTTCGTTCACGTTGACTTATATATGCAGACGGCAGGCCGATCGTACACATCATGTCAAACAAAGTACTCGTTAATATCTGTTGTTTACCATGGTGCCGTTGTACAAATCGATCTTAGCGCTAAGGTGGCCGTAACTCCCATACCTTAACATAGACTTAAGGTAGTCTCGGCGCTAAGGTTGATTTGTACAACAGCACCCGGTTCTACAAGATGCTAAACCGGATATAACGGCGAATATTTAACATGAATGTCGTATAATTTTACATGTCGCCTGAATATTATTAGTATTATTCTACGATTCCTGTTCTGTTATTCTTGATAGGACATCTCACGTGAACATGTTGTATGTTTGTATCGGTACAATATCATAATAATGTACAGCGCGATGGAATGACGTGACAACTCTGATTATTTTTTTCCAAACCAGTATTACCATCGAAAACATTCCTCAAATATACACGTGGCATATGTAATTAGTTAAAAAGAAAGTATTATCATTGGGTAAATGTCACAAACGTTCATATAACTATACAATTAACGTCACAAGGGACATTCACATACTATGAATGTCCCTTGTGATGTTAAATATACGTACATGACAAAACTATTTGGTTACAAATTATGTTTCAGTGTCATATTTAGTAACATATATCATGCGGAACATGTGATGTAACTGTTAAGTTGCTGTCGGCGACATAGACTACAGCCTGACGTCCACGTAAAACCTCAAATAATGATGATAAGTTGAAAGACCAGTATTATCATTGGGAAAATATTACATACGAACATGTGCTATAACGCCCAGGTTAAAAAGCCAGTATTATCATGACTGAAAAATTACATACGAACATGTAATGTAACTGTTAAGGTAAAAGGCCAGTTCTATCATTAGGGAAAAGTAACATACAACCATGCGATGTAACTGTTAAGGTAAAAAATATTTGTTATGTGTACATACGTCATATTTGGGAACGATAATACTTGCTTTCTGATTTAAAAAATACTACACATTTATTTCAAATATAAAAGTATTCAATTAAATAAATAGTAACGCTGTCTTCGTAACCAAACAAATGTTACGTTTCCCCCGATGGCAATGTTGGCATTGCACCTAAGTAGTTATGTCAGTTGTACTTGTGTGTGTTTACCGGATAATAATATAGGCTTTCTAAGTTAATAGCTATATCCCATTTTCGCATATGTGATTTTTTCCCAATGATAAAACTAGCATTTTTACCTTAACAGTTACATCACATATTCGTATGTAATATTTCAGCAATGATAAAACAGGCTTTTTAGTGACAAACCAGTGTTACCATCACGGGTGTATCATATACGGAATTAATTAACATTCATCAAATAACCGAGGAATGACGGACGAAAAATGTGTCACAGCTGATTATATAACATTTAATGAGTGACCCATTTTCCGAAATGTTTATTAGTTCACTAATTGCTTATTTCACGCATTACCCATTCTCACTGTAAACACATTGATTAGAACATACAAAGCTAAACTCGAAATCCGGCTCATAGACACTGCTTACTTGTGTCCCGCCGCTGAGGGCTGATGTAATCTATTGTTATACGACGTCATTACATTACAACGTGACCTCATTCAGTTTGCCTGGTACAAATTGCCATTTAACACCTCGCGGGTCACACAGGCCGGATGGTGCGGGCCACCACTTGGATACAATGCTATGGAATCATTGTGACACTCCACAGTAGATATATCTGGTAAATATGTAGACATGTTATATTTGCTGAAACCTGAACAAGTAGCTTCAATACAAAGTGCATCCCAACTTTTGTTTGCGATTTGAAAAATCATTTTATGAAAGGTATTATTGTAACTTATTCTCTCTACTGTTTGGGAGGATGGTGTCACTGCAGCATCTGAAGAAAGAATAGCATAAACTGCCAGACTACATTGATGAATAAATGATTTCATCGGTTAGGGAAATATTTACTGCAATGGTATATGCAATGCCGGGCCTTTGAAAATGTTTATGGAAAGCTATATTCGCATTCCTCTTATCTGAACAGGGCTCCAGATAAGGGCCGTATCGGCGTATGTACGGATATAAAATAAGCACGATACGGTAGGAAATAATTTAGAAAACGTAGCAGATACGCACCACAGCAATGGTGTACGGTCTTAGAATCATTTACAGATGTGTTTATCTGAAAACGTATTGTTTTATTCTTTATGGACCTGTTTACACAAGAGTAGCAATGTTGTGGTGCATATATGAAACAAAACACAAGATTACTGATACTCCATTAAATTCCATTCAGTACTCTAAGTGTACTCTTATTGTTTTCCAGTACTCCTATAGAAAACATAAGGAGTACGTACTTCTGAACAGCATTCATCCTGACACCGCATTTCTGTATTTACATTACAGATAATGTACACATTCACAATTTTAAATCTCTGTTAAAAACAACGTTTTAACTCTTAGTGAACCTTTATCTGGACAATCTGAGACAACATCCGCATGTTTCAGTCACATAACGGTCCCCATTGTGCACTGCATGCACTTGGTTGCCAGGCTTCACTTTAGCATTGGGTGATAATATTGAAATTACTTGTTCGTTGTGCATTTCAATATTTAATCAAACCCGGATCAAAACCTTGGTAAATTTTGGTATTTGTCACTACAAATCGGTTTTAAATTGTTTCTAATGTGCGTTTATAGACGGTATGTTTTGAAATCAAATCCGGCATTAACAGACTATTGTAATACATCAGTTAAATAGTCTGTTCGTCATCCACGTGTAAAAAAATAACTTTATTAATTATTTGACTAGTTGGGGTTTCTACCGCCATGCAGTATACAAGAAATCAGCTTCACACATTGTACTCGCGAGACGAGCGAACGTGTTAAAAAATATAACCAGTTGGCTGATGAATGAGGAAATGGGTGATAATGGTTTTGCACAATATTCCAGCAATATAATGTCCAGAGACATCAGAAGTGAGATTCTTCCCATGTGGGGAATCGAACCCGGGCCTTCTACGTGACGAGCGACCGCGTTGACCACAAGGGTACCCTACTGCCGGGATACAGTTCACTGATGACAGTCATGAGTTGTTATACATATAAGACATAGCTATAGGGATCTGTTATCTTATCGATTATTTGCACCAGCTGTTTCACCTGTATGTGTGAACGAAAAGATATTTGATCTGTCAGCATCTCCGAGCTTCCAGCTGTTACAATAATTTCGCCAGTTGCAATTTATAGTACACTGGACGTAGTCCATGTTTCCATTGAAAATATTAAAAATATATATACTTCTCAAAACTAGTTATGACAACCCGATTCCTTCAGATGACTATCTGTATCGCAAGAGAGTATAACGGTGTGTTATTTGGCTTTCCTATGGCAGTATATATGTTACAGTGAATTTCAGGGATTTTATGAAATTCCTGATTCACTCGGTGGTTTCACAAAATCCCTGGAATTCCTAGGCATTTAACAAAATCCCTGAAAATCGCGACAATTTTGTAAACATATTCCCTGAAATTAATATATCGCATTCTCAGTGTTTGTTTCGGCAATACTGCTTGAAATTGGTAAAGACAAAAGCGTGTAATAAATCAAAATATTTTTTTCCTGCATTGACATGAAATAACCTTTATAGATTTAAAATAGTTGCATAAATATGTTATAAAAATATAAAATAATTCAATAATTCAAGTGACAAAAACAATATCTATCACTATCAGTTGTTGCATCAGTGTTCAATTGCCATAATCATCCAATGGATCAGAGTACCTTCTGTGATATCTTTTTGAAACAAAGTCACGTCAGTCAAACCACACTCATATATATCAACATTTGCTTTTGAAAGAGGGAAGAGTGACATCGCGAGTTACACATAACCCGAGCCTTGTAACATTTACACCTTTGTGTCTGACATGATTTTGTGCCACTACAGTTAGATTTCACAAAACCCTGTCCACCACATACAGACTTTGACTTGACTGCAGATCTCAGCGATACAAGTTTCTCAGTCGACATATCTGCAATAGTGTAGAGAGATGTGGCACACACATCAAACTGGTTGCGTGAATACTTTCCACACATGACACCGGCTTTTACAGCAAGTGTGGACATGCCGTTGTCAGTAATGTCCTTTACAACTCCTTGGATCGGCTCTCCCTCTGTCAACACCAGGAATTGGTATTGTCACATTGCCACCCACAGCAACCTCAGAGAGAACAATCTTGCTCCGTTTCACCATTCTCTGCTTGAAGAATCTGCGACCCTCCTGCCCTCACTGACGTGTCTCTCAGTAACAAAGTCTGTTGATGGAGAGCGTTCTGGTTGCGGCTCTTGTTCTGGTTGCAGTTCTTGTTCTGGTTGTGGCTCTGGTTCTGGTTGCGGCTCTCGTTGTGCTTGCGGCTCTTGTTGTGCTCTTGCGGCTCTTGATTACTCTCGCTCAAGATGATCAAGCAGTATTGTCAAGACAAACACTGAGAATGCGATATATTCATTTCAGGGAATATGTAAAAAGAAATGTCCTGATTTTCAGGGATTTTGTTAAATCCCTAGGAATTCCAGGGATCTTGTGAAACCACCGAGTGAATCAGGAATTTTATAAAATCCCTGAAATTTTCAGTGATTCTACAAAATCACGGATTTGACGTATTCACTGTAACATATACACATATATCATAATGTATTCTTTTCTCATACTTATCCAAGTCCATGGGACCAGTGAAGATCCGGGTTAGAACTGGTGTTCAGCAACCCGTCCACTGTTTATCGTGTTTTGAAAAATATTGCAAATGGATATGGCACTGAGCACCAGGGAGGCGCAGGTAGGCCCAGAAAATTGACTGTCGGTGACAGGAGGCGGCTTGGTATTCTTGTTTCTAAAAACAAACGAAGGAGTTTAGAAAACTTAAGGCTGGATATGATTGATAGGGGAACTGTGGCTGTCTGTAAGGAGACAATTAGAACTGAGCTGCATGCAATGGGTTGGCAGAAAAGTCGAGGAATTCTGAACCCCCCCTTTCAAAATTCCTGGATCCGCCCATGGCCCCTCTGTGTATTTGAAGGGAATATGAACAGTGAGCGGTACACAGATATTCTCGAGGGACATTTACTTCCATCTGCTCACGTGTTCTATGGAATTTTTGGATTTTCCAGCAGGACAACGACCCAAAACATCGTTCAAAGCATTCACAGGCCTGGTTTCGGACCCCAAATATGACATTATTAGATTGGCCAAGCTATAGCCCTGACCTAAATCCAATAGAAAATGTTTGGGGACTTATGAAGGAAAGTGTCAATAAGAAAAATCTGACAAATATTGCTGAAATGAAAGAAGAGGTGGTCCGATATTAGGACAGCGTGGACCACGACTTTCTAACTTCTTTGATCAGTAGTATGCCCCGCCGCATTGAAGCCTGCATTGCTGCCAATGGTGACTTGACAAAAAACTAACTGTTCACCTGTTTTTGAATCCTGAGTTATGTTCTGCTAATATTCACATTTAATACGTGAGTAATGAGTGAAAAAAATTACAATCTTAAATTCTCAATAATTTCTGGTTGTACTGTACCTGCAGTTAGAATGCAACGTTTACCGTGTTACTCAATTTTCAGTTTGTGTGTTACATAATTGCCTTCGGAGTGAGGTTTTATAACGGATGAAGACCAACATCCAAATAGAAACGGTGTCCGCCCAGTCCGTAGACAAACCAAATTTCATTTGTTGCACTCTGTAGACAAACAGAAATAGGGTGATTACCTGGTGTCTAGACAGTGTCTGTTTACCCGAGCGTGGTGATGTTGTGACAAGTTATTAACCTTGTTAAGGAATATAGCCTTTGATCAACAGTTTTATAATATTTTCACATATGCAGTTGAGAGTTAAAACAGAGAAACAGAAGTAAAAGATCTTAAACTGACACTGAGTCAAGCTAGTTAAGACCCATTCACATAGGAAAAAGAATGTCAAATTATTTTTTCAAATTTATATTATACCGCACCGCTATATGGTATTGTTACTTTGATTAGAACAAGAATCGTTCCCGCAAACGACAGGCATAATGTCTGAATCGACAATCGTATATTTGTATGCAGGGTGTATAAATAGTGCAGCACATGTTCCGTGCCGATCACGCCAGTCTTTGTGCGAGTGTCGTGAATGCGGCAGGCGAAGCTGCTCGCCCTCGGGTGAGGCACTCCAGTATACACGTTGCATCAACTTTGCCATTCACCTTCCGAATTGACGGAGAATTCTTACCGAAAACAACTACTGGTCAGCCTTGTGGCTTTATAGCATTTATACCATACTGACGAGTAAGGGTTGAGCAACAACGGCGCCTGTAAACCCCTATACAACTGGTATTGGCTATTGAATCACATGACATGGTGAGGCCTTTCCTTGCGTCCTTCAGTATAAGACTGGAGCATTAACCTACAGGATTAACTAAAGAGCAGTATCCAGCGTTTAAGGATTATTTCCGGACTGAAGAGGTGCATGACATAAGTTGTTCCGGTACATGGGGCGTTGTGGGTGGAAGCATGTGACCGGCTGAATCGATCGCGTCAGCAACACTTTTACATCGACAATCGGATCATACTTCCTCGTCGCAGTGCGGCTCGGACGAGAGTACAGCCCTAGACTGGTTACCCGGGTGTTGCCGTGAGTTTGTCACGGTTGAGGAGATACCTCCTTTCCGTCTTACCTTACTTAAGTCGTGTTGTCATCCGATCCATGACCGTCAGAAGGGCGACAATCGTCGACTGAGGTGGAGTTTCACCTGAAACCGGCAGCACGTGATAACGAGTGGGCTTGTTTGTGCAGCCGAACTATTGACCCCATCTTACCCCAGGTGAAATCAACTTGTTATTTGAAACTGTCAAAAGACAGCGTATCAACACACCGCACTATTGTGCACGTTATGTACGGAGTTTGTGTCTTTGCGGCAATATTTGATTAAACTTGTGACTGATCAACGCTTACCGGAAATAATACCGTTATATACGCACGTGTGTTGACAGACTCGGTTCAGTTAACAGTAAAGAAGAAACCAGGTCGACAAAACCCACCTAATTGATATCCGTAATTGGGCCACACTTAAGTTGTGTGTCGAGGCATGTGAAGATAGGTGACACATTTAGCTGACACATATCGCACTGTTGCTTCCTCCACAATATCCCGCCTTATCATGGGCAGGCCGCATGTTCCTGTGATGATGTGAAGAGAGTGGACTTTGCTATCAGATACTGCCTGTGTATTGTGGATGCCCTGTGTGTGATGGCAAGCTAATGGCCCACGGCTATTCAGCAAAACAATGGATATATTTATTTCCCTGTATAACCATTTTCGGCAAAGTTATGGCCTCCCCACCGACCTCGTCACCATTGGAGCAAGTAAGATTTGTTTTATTCAAGCGTTTTTGTCTACATCTGTTATTTGTGTTTCTGTCACCTGTCAAGTATTAAATGTCTTCTGTCACTTCAGCAACATAGAAGGGAGATAACTGCTTCATGCTTTAATAGATACACACACTGTTTCACTCTGCAAGTATTTATTCCATATCCTAGGGAGTCTGCTATAAATTGTTAATATTACCCCATGTTCAAATTACCCAATGTTTGTCATCTGTAAACAGTTGCTTTGAGGATTGTATATACAATGTGTAGTGTGTGTATCTGTATCTGTCAGTCTGTGGAGTGAGTGAGTGAGTTTAATTTTACGCCGCACTCAGCAATATTCCAGCTATATGGCGGCGGTCTATAAATAATCGAGTCTGGACCAGACAATCCAGGGATCAACAGCATGAGCATCGATCTGCACAATTGGGAACCGATGACATGTGTCAACCAAGCCAGCGAGCCTGACCACCCGATCCCGTTAGTCGCCTCTTACGACAAGCATGGATTACTGAAATTTCATTCTAATCTGGACCTTCACGGGTCATGAGCCTGTGGAGGCGGTGGAGTAGCCAAGTGTTTTAGGCGTTCGCTTGTCATGTGAAGACCTGGGTTCGATTCCCCACATGGGCACGATCATGTGTGAAGCCCATTTCTGGTGTCCCCTGCCATGATATTTCTGGAATATTGCTAAAAGTGGTGCAAAGCTAAACTCACTCACTCACTCAGTATGCCTGTCCTAAATAATGCAGAAATAATAGTTTCGGTTGTGTACTACGACCCCATTGAGATACCATGCTGCAGTTTGACTTGATTCATACAGTACACACACTCTAGACTAATCAGTCCGTGCTATTGCTCACACCTATGAAATTGCCAAATTTTTTCACACCTAAAAAAGCCACAATTTATATTTAAGAATAACTAAACATCAATTTGCCATCTATGGACTAATTCAACATGGTCAAACAAAATATTTGTTGTCTAACTTTAAAATTCACATCTTCATCCATGTAAGGATTTTAGTGGTAGATGGTTTATCAAGCTGTGAGAGTGATGTCCCTTTGCTGACATGCTTGATGTTAATATGAACCTTCACGAGAGATGAAAAGTTTTTTTTAGATCATCATGACATCCACATGCAGATTAATTTCAAAGTTATAGTCTGTTGTTAGTCTACTAGATACTTTTGTCCATTTAATAAGATATTCTGCACAGGGTTGGAAATAACTTTAAAATTGCTAGTGTACTCCGGAACAGTAGCACATGTAAAATCACTTGCCCTAATAATTTTTCCACTATACCGTCCGTTTTCTTGTTGATCTTTTACAATAAACAACATAGTTCACATTGGAAAGTCAACTGGACACCGGTACAGTGTGATATACAAATTTGCTTGCCCGACAGAAAAACACACTGGACTCGGGCGTCGGGCAATGGGTTATTTCCACCCCTACTGCAATGAATAAATAAGAAACTGAAATCAAGTGTTCATTATAGAACAGTCAATACCTTTTTGAAGGGAGGATGCATCGTCATTATGTTTCTTAAGTGAAAGTCGAAAATGTGTTGGTGAGACATGTGTAGATTACAAATAGAAAATTATGATAAATATTGCACCAAAATTTGTTACAAATATAATCTGAAAAAAGACCCCCCAAAATGGTCCCCAAATGCATCAAATAACTTTTAATAACATCTATATTTAAACATTTTGAAGTCGGACATGCACCAAACCCTTCATTGATTTTATTTACACTTAAAAATGTTGTAGTTGTGCACGTCCGTCTCTCCTGACTACCATACACACTAGGGGTGAAACGGTACGCTCTTACCATGGTACGGTACATGTTGTTGTACAAGGCCTTTGGTTCAGTCCGTTTCAGTTTGGTATATGAGATATGACCATAATTTTCTTTGAGTAACTAAATAAATTGTACACACCCCACTCAAACTCAGTTGGGTAGTTTTCCATTTATTGTAAAAATATAATAAAGTTTCAATGTTTGTTTACATGTTTGTATTTGTATTTGATCTGTAGTATGAGAAACAATAAGAAAGACTGCAAATTGCCAAGTTCATGTGCGGAAATAGAATCTTTCAATATACCTCAGTCAGTGTCAGTTATTTGATCTGTCCTCGGTAATCTCTATCACATTTTTGTGCCTACGCACGTTAGATCAAGTGTATTGAGTATTTACAAAAGTTTAAGCGTACTTGTACGCAATAGACTTAATAGGAATTGAGCTTTCACATAAATATTTGTGTAATTTACGCAGATGTGCAGCTTATCTGTACCTCTGTGTATGTAACATTCACAATGCACAAACGTAGGTCGTTATTCATGGGCTGCTTCTAAATCATGTTCAGTGTTCTGTCTTGTTAGTACCCGAAACATAGATATGTCACCATTCCCCATGGTGTGAAATATACTACCCATCAAAAGTTTAGACTCACTTAAAGCACTCACTATATGTTATGCATATATGTGAGGTTACATCAAAGATGAATTTCTCCACTAACTTTGGGAACAAACTGCAAACTTTATGCAGATGAATTGCACGAGGATCATGCATTAAATTGGTAAAAAGCATGTGCAAATATCGTGCATGTGAACAGCTGTGTTGTGGTGTAACATTTTCATCATTTTTTTAACCCATGATAATAATCTTTTCAACGTTACGAATTTGTTTTACAATACATCAGTTCATGTGTAAACAGTACCTTTAAACAGTATGGAAATTTTGCAAAATCTAGTTTAGAAGAGTTGATTTATGTGAGTGGCTACATTTACACTAGTGAGTCTAAACTTTTGATGGGGAGTATATATTAATTTCTTTCAGACCTTTTTTGTTAATTTTCGCTGAAAGTAATTTATCCAATATTTATTGATAATCAAGTGATATTTGGTTAACAATTATCGTCCTCCTGGTCCTTGTACTTGCGAGTCTGCTTAATGTCTTCATGCAGCAAATGACCCATCAAGATAACCCATGCTTGTTGTAACAGGCGACTAACGGGATTGGGTGGTCAGGCTCGCTGACTTGGTTGACACATGTCATTGTATCCCAATTGTGTAGATCGATGCTCATGCTGTTGATCACAGGATTGTCTGGTCCAGACTCGATTATTTATAGACCACTGCCATACAGCTGGAATATTGCTGAGTGCGGAGTTAAAATACACTCACTCACTCACTCATGCAGCAAATTTAGTTACAGAGTTGAAAGGTAGCATAAGGTTGTGTATCCAGGTCAGTCACAGTCACGCCGAAGACCCGGGTTCGATTCCCCACATGGGCACAATGTGTTAAGCCCATTTCTGGTGTTCCCCGCCGTGATATTGCTGGAATATTGCTAAAAGCGGCGTAAAACCAAACTCAGTCAGTCAGGTCAGTCACATAGGTGAGATAGTCTGAAGCATTTCCTTCTAATTTTGGACTGATGTACTGCACTAGATATGATATTTGTATCAACACATTCCCTGATACTGGTAACTGGGTGGGCGCAGTATCTTATAGGTTATCTACAATAATTCTGATCCATGCACTAGCCCAGTGGTTAAAATGGTCGTTTGTCTTGCTGAAGATCTGGGTTTGCTTCTCCACTTGGGGGACAATATGTGAAGCCAATTTGTTGTGTTATCTGGTGTGATATTGAAGGAGTATTGCTTAAATCGGCACAAAACCATCCATGCTCATTCATTGACTCATTACAGTGGGGTTGAAGATCTGGGTTAGAAATGATCTTTGTCAACCCATGCTTGTTGAAAGAGGCCACTAACAGGATTGGGTTCCTGCTTGCTGACTTTGATGATGTTTGTATCCCAATTGTGTGGATCGATGCTCATGATGTCTGTCACTGGATTTTACAGACTCATTTATTTACACACCGTTGTCATAGGTGAATATTGATGAGTGGAGCCTAACTGTATCCAAACAATAAATCTCGAGGACAGATCAAATAACTGAGGTATACTGAAAGATTTTATTTCCGCACATGAATGGGGTATCCAGTGTGCATTAGGGGTGAAATGGTATACCATGGTACCAGTACACCATAATGCAATCCAAAAATTTGGTATTTTCGGTTTTCGTACCTCATTTTATTAAAACATTTAAACCTTTTCTAAAATGTCTAGAAATCGAATCATTTTGTCAAAATCTATGCATTTCTTTTCTTTTCAGCATTATGGTCATATCTCACATACAAACTGAAACGGACTGAACCAAAGGCCTTGTACAGCAATATGTACCGTACCATATCACCTCTTCCCTTGTTGAATTATGTTGTGGTCTATGTTGATCAGTGCAGGTGTTACCATGTGTTTAGTGTGTCTCACAGTCCCTGGACCCGTGAAGATCCGGGTTAGAATATTGATCTTCAGTAACACATGCTTGTCTACCCGTGAAGGTCCGGGTTAGAATATTGATCTTCAGCAACCCATGCTTGTCTACCCGTGAAGGTCCGGGTTAGAATATTGATCTTCAGCAATCCATGCTTATCATAAACGCGGCTGATGGGATCGGGTTGTCAGGCTTGGTGACTAGGTTGACACATCATATCCCAATTGCATAGATCGATGCTCATGCTGTTGATCACTGGATTGTCTGGTCTATTACAGACGTCACCATATGGCTGGAATATTGCTGACTGTGGTGTAAAACTCAACTCACTCACTGAGTCCCTGGACGGCAACCCATGCTTGTCTACCCGTGAAGGTGCGGGTTAGAATTTTGATCTTCAGCAACCCATGCTTGTCTACCCGTGAAGGTGCGGGTTAGAGATTTTGATCTTCAGTAACCCATGCTTGTCTACCCGTGAAGGTTTGGGTTAGAGATTTTGATCTTCAGTAACCCATGCTTGTCTACCCGTGAAGGTCCGGATTAGAATATTGATCTTCAGTAACCCATGCTTGTCTACCCGTGAAGATGCGGGTTAGAATATTGATCTTCAGTAACCCATGCTTGTCTACCCGTGAAGGTGCAGGTTAGAATA